ATTCTCATCGGACTTGAATCCAGTAGATCACGTGTGGGACATGCTTGGCCGACGAGTTGCAGCCCGTCAACCTTCTCCTACGTGTCTACCAGAACTGAGAGCATTGCTTTTTGAGTGGTGTAATATCCCCCAAGATCAGATCGATAATTTGATACTCAGCATGCCTAGGCGTTGTACGGACTGTATTGCATCGTCTGGGAGACATACAATGTATTAACAATCATGCCAATCATGTAATATTGGTTTTTTGTCAATAGGTTTTTTTTTGTAATTTGCTCCAGGGAGAAAAAATCGCTAATTTTTTTAATAATATCAAACATATAGCATCTTTTTTTGCTCTTTACCTTTTGTTTAATATATAAGCTTTACAAATATGTCAAATTTGTTTTGTTTCTAACTCTTCCTTTGCCTGATTTGGCATTATCCTTAATTTATGGACATGAGTGTAAATCGAGTGCAGTAACTATCCACAATTCCAAGTCGTGAAATATTTGTATCTGATGACATGGCGCATTATTATCTTGGAACATTCCATCGTTATAAGGGTGTATGAGGATCACAGAGGGCTTCAAATGTTAGCTAGGTAGCTGAATATAAAGAACTTTCGTCAAATTCTGTTTAACCACAGGTTCAGATTAACCAAAAGACCGAATCTATGCGCAGTTTCCTCACTAATGGAACCGCTAATAGTTTGCACAAAGCCTTGTTGACAACTTGGATCCGAAACCTCATTCAGTTTGTGACACATCCGAACCCGGCTGTTAGCTTGTACCAAATGGAAATTTAACTCATCAGATCGTCCTTTTTACAGTTATCAAGAATTCAATGCACGTATTTATAAGCGTAGATGATGCACTGAAACTGACACTATGCTGTGAGTAAAGGTACTCGATTCTGTTTTCAGCTTCTATGTCCCACCAACACCAAATCTCGTTTCACGATCCTCACAAACACCATTCAAATCCTCTCCAGCATGTCGTGATTTACTGTGACAGTGGAATGCTGTGTGCTTCGTGCATTGAGCTCCAATTATCATTTCGAGTTAAAACTCGGTTAATTCTATTGGTAGCGATTATGCCGTAACTCAGCTTTTCACACGGCATTCAAGAGTCCAGTTATGAGGATTATATCTTTTATCTGTATGTGAGCGCCACTGGGAAATCTGCCTATTACAATGGATGATATGCGGCACATAAGTGTACTTTAATGTACACTGGTGTGCAAAAATTAAGGACGAGACGGTTTTTTCAATATAACTTTGTACAAAAGCTTTCTAAATCAACACATTTAATACCGTAAGATCCCCAATACGTAAGCACATGAGTAGTGTAAGCAACACTTACTAAAAGAGAAATCAGAGGGATAAAAAGAAGCTTTATTGAAAAAGTAGCATGGAGCGCAATGCGACTGAAGGCCGAAACATCCCTGTGATGGGTGTCCAGCAAGAAACATCTGGTCTTTAATAGGTGATATGATCTCCCCTGTCTGCTAGGCAGGTTTCACAGCGTCTGCCAATGCTGAGAATGAGGGTGTCAATGAGTTGTTGAGGCATTGCTGCCCATTCGTCTTGCAGCGCCAATCGAAGCTCCGGAATCGTTACTGGTGGTAAGGTACGAGCTGCCAAGCGTCTGCCTAGAAAATCCCATACATGCTCGATGGGATTGAGATACGGAGATCGTGCCGGCCAATCCCTACGTTCAATATCCTCACTCTCTAAGAGCTGTTCGGCAGCTACTGTGCGATGACATGGTGCATTGTCGTCCATGAAAAGGAACTGCGGACCCATAGCGCCTCTAAAAAGACGCACATATGGAAGAAGAATCTCGTTACAATAACGGGTCCCGTTGACTGAACCTGCGTCGAAGATGTGAAGGTCTGTACGACTACCAAGCATGATGCCTCCCCAAACGACAACACCGCCACCTCCATTTCAATGATGTTCGAGGGATGATTGCGGCTTCTCCGCTCTCTTCAGATGAGTATACGATGAGAATCGCTACTCAGACTGAATCAGCTCTCATCTGTAAAGAGTACTCGTCCCCATTCATTGTCTCTCCAATTCCGGTGTTCCCGGCACCACAGAGACGCCTTCTCCGATGGGCAGGTGTTAGAGATACACACCGTACAGGGCGTCGTGCAAACAGACCACCACCGTGCAGTCTTCTGGCCACGGTAAAACGCGATATCGGTCGTCCAGTCGCCTGTGTCGTGTGTCTAGCGATTTCTCCCGCTGTCTGCCGCCTGTTTCTTCTGGCCTGAAAGGCAATATACCGGTCATCTGCGGGTGTGGTTCCTCGTGGACGACCACTACTAAACCCCCGGATAGCTGTTCCTGTAGTTTGAAATTGTCTATAAAGTCGTGAAACGATGCCGTGAGCAATTCCGAACTCTGCAGCCACACTTGTCACACTGCGGCCTTCCTCCAACTTCCCAATGATTCGACCTCGAGTAAAAGCATCCAGATGTCGTCTAACAGATTGATTATTCGCCATTTCTCGCTGAGGCAGCAACTCGGTGTGATTTTAACTGCTATACGGCGTGCAATCTCTTTGCCAGAAATATTGATCTTACACCGACAACATGCTTTATACTACTCAGACACTCCCCCATTACGTCTACCTGCATATCTGCGCATGTGCTACCGTACATCACCTTACTTAATCTCCTGATTGGTCTTTCTGTCCGCTCTGCCTCTTCGTTCAGTTGATGTGCTAATTTTTCGACTTCGTCCTTAATTTTTGCACACCAGTGTATTAGAGACTATCTTACAATTTACGAAAGATTAATGCTTTCGAAGTTTCATCTGCATAACTACTTTTATTGCGAAAGGCTTTAATGAAAACCGTTTGTTATTACAGCTTCAACTAACTCATCATTAACATTCATTTATGCAATTAGTATATGTATAAAGCAATAAAATCCCCCTCTTTTGAAAATCCTTCGTCCACTCTGTTAAACGGATCATATCGCATTTCGGGAAGATTGTAATATTCAAATATCCACTTCATTAATAATAAATAATAATCTTTTGGATGCTAAAATCGTGATCCGATATTAAAATCAAAATGCTGTACGAACAATAGGGAGGTATAATCTCGAGCCAAATGGCTCTAAGGCGTTTTGCAACAGAGAAAGAAATGATGTCGTCGAAAAATGTGTACAAAGCTAGATTTTCCCTGTGTCGCTGCACGGTACAGTTTGCTTCGATGCTGAGGGACAACACGGAAGCCATAGAAAGCATGTACGGAAATCCGGTGCATCACGATCAAGGAAGTGCTATCCTGCTGAACCTATGAATTGGGGATCAAGCCTTTACGTTACTCACGACAAGCTGAACTTCATTAAATTGTGTACTAGATGGTGTAACACAAGCGCTTGATGCCTGAAAGGAAAGAGAGACATGTTGATGGTTGATAAGAGCTTCCACATCGGTGACAAGCGACTGATGAACCACTTCTGAAGAGCATCAGTTCTGGAGATACGAGATGAGCACACTTCAGAATGGAACGAACGACAATGATGTTTGGTCGGCCCCCATGCCTGAGTGACTATCCACTTTCCGACTGAATTATTTATTATATTACGCGCTACTGTAAGCTCAATTCATAAACGAGAATTACGTTGAACATTGGTAATTTAATTATTTTAGTGTTTTTAATAAATACTCTGGATATTAAAATTCCAGTTTTCCATTGTAGGCAGTAAAAAAAAAAAAAAAAAAAAATCTAATGTATACACCACATGATTTCCTTGTACGGAATATTAAATTATACGCATTTTTTCTTGCATTTCATTTAAACTTATTGGATTGAATTAAATCTACTTCGCCGACAGCGCATAAACCACAATAGAATAAATGCATTTTTTAAAATTCACTCCAGTATTTGTTTACCATAGCGACACTCTGGCGCTAGATTCACTTAACAGTACTATATTTCGTTCATATTATAACTCATAATGCACACAATTTATATCATTTAAAGAATAGAATGATCTAATCGTTGCCACATGTTCTACACAAATACTATAATAAAGTTAGAATGATGTATAAAAGAAATTAAGCAAATAAAACAAAAAAGAAACAGTTTTTCACAGACGATTGAGTATTTCTCATTCAATTAATTCAGGTCTCACTTCGCGAGAAGGCAAAAATACATAAAAACTCAAAATATCTGTATTAAAAATTACGACGTAAATCTTAAACACTTATTTCCTTGAAAAATTTCCAGAAAGGATTAGGCATAATTTAATTGGCAATAATAAATGAAGGCGTTATCTTTGTTGTTGCGAAACTAAGTTTTTCTAGATTGGCAACAAATCCACTAGTCTGCTGTTTCATATGTAAACAATCAATGGCCACCATAAAAAAAGGCTTAGCGGCACTTAAACAACTTTAAAATTGTTAATAATTCTAAAATAGTGCATACAGATTTACTAAAGGCATAAAAACCTTAACCGGAAGATAAAAACAACATAATCCAATCATTTTTAAAGCAAAAAATGTACAATTTACAAACATATAAGAGTAAAGAAACTGAGATCATTGAGCCGGGTAACAGAGTGGATATATGTATAAATATATTTATATACGTTTGGTGCAGCCTATTGCAACCAAAGTACGAGGTGCACATCTACATGTTATAGCAGTCCTATATAGAAAATTTCAACGTTCTTGAGGCTACTCGTTTTTGAGTTATGCGAGATACGTACGTACGCACGTACGCACATACGTTCGTACAGACGCCACGAAAAATTCTCTTCAGAATTCATTTTAAAGCAGTTTTATAATTTTTTTTTTAAGGAAGCGAGGCTTTTATTCTGTCCTTACGTACAGATATCACGCAAAAACATCGTTAAATTGCATTCGATAGCGGTCAAAATGGATATTTTCGTTAAAATATGCTGTTTGAAACTTTTCGCGATTACAATACTTCCTTTTTACTTCCAGGCATAAAAAACAAACACATTTAATAATAGAGAATACTCTTTTTTCCCCACAGCAAATTCAGAGTCGTGCTAATGATTTTCAAGTTATGATGTCCCAGTTACGATTCTTCCTGAAAGGAAGGACTATTCTAAATACGTGCCTTACGGATCTGGTTTCTAGAAGATTCTCTTCTCGCTCTTCCACAACATTTAATATCACAGAAAGGAGTTTTCAGAATGGTATATCATACCGGTTCAAGCAAACTGAAGTCGCTAAAGGTAAGCAAAGATTTTGTATAAATGATGTTTATACAGCAAATTTATCTTATACTTTTTTTTTTTTTTTTTTTTTTTTGTACAGTGAATACAAAATTGGTAACCAGCTTGATTAAAACTTAATCTGTATTAAAATTTTAATTAGCGCAATCGTAAATAATTTATTAATAAGTAACTTAAAATTAAACATTTGACGTTAGGAACCTCTTTAGAAGAGCTTTTTCAAAAAATGTTTAACATTGCGATAAGTTAAGCAGTTATAATCTTCGTTTAACTTTCGCGTAACCTGGCAAATACCAGTTTCAATAGTATTGTTACGAATTTGCTATTTAAAAAGCTAATGTTAGTTCAATTATAAATTAAATGGTTTTATTTCTCGCGCAGTGCAGCGCGTGACGAATATTAAAAGAAAGCTAAGCCGGAAAAATTAAAAATACAAGAGCGCGTGCGTTAAATAAATAAATATCTCTTTTTGATTTCGAGAAAGTACTGGAAAATTCTAGCGCGTGATTTTTAAAATCTTATAAAAGGAGGAAAACATCTCAGTTTGTAGTAGTTGCTTAGTTTGTTGTTGTTTAGAAAACTACTGTTGTTGATTGTAGCGAATTCGCGGATTGGCGTTCTTTAGCTGTTTTGAATTACGTTCTATTGGACATTTGAGTAGTTAAAAGAAAACTACTGTGAGATATTGTAATACTGCATGATAATTTGAGAAAATTTAAGCATTTTTTTTGTTGTGATAATAATAAATTTTTTTTCATTTTTCATCGGACTTGTGCATTTATTTCATAACGAACCCGTACGCACGCAACAATTTTTGGTGTCAGGAGTGGGGTTTGAATGCCAATCACAAGAGCGATGGAAGAGCAATTAAGACAGCTGATATCAGCGTTTGCCTCGTTTAAGAAGAAATGAAAGCAGAGATGAAATGTAATCAGGAAAAGATTGAAACAGGACAGGAAAAGATTGAAGCAGGACAGGAAAAGATTGAAGCAAGACAAGAAGAGATGAAAAGAGAAATTACCAGCGTAATAGAAAACAAATTCGAGGTTATGGAGGGCAGAATTGACGCAGTTGAGAATAAAGTTGGAAACTTTGAAGAAAAAGTTTCTTCGGTAAAAGAAGAAATAGAAGAGAGAGTTTCTGCCGTGGAACAACAAATTAATGATAGAGTTTCTGCGGTCACCAAAGAAGTTGATGATTTAAAGAAATTCGTAGCGACGGCAGGTAGCAATCCGGAAGGTTTCAAATTTTTATCGATGCCTGCTCGTTCCGTTCTGAAACTATCTACATATGATGGGAAGACCTCCTGGCAGGTGTATAGGACACAATTTTCTATCGTTGCGGATGCGAATGGATGGGATTCCCAAGCTAAGGCCTGTCATCTCGCCGCTTCTCTGAGAGCAGACGCAGCGGATATCCTGCAGACGCTTCCCGAAAATCAAAGGCTAGATTTCGAAGCTCTATCCGGCGCTTTGGAGCTGCGCTTCGGCGAGAAATGTTTAAAAGACTACAGCAGGCTCCAATTAAAATCTCGTCAACAGAAGCTCACCGAAACGCTTCAGGAGCTCGCCGCGGATGTTGAAAGGCTGTCACATCACGCCTTTTCAGAGTGCCCGACAGGAACAAGGGAAATCCTGTCCCTGCAATGTTTCATCGATGGCATCCGGGACCCTGAAATACAGAAAGCACTGCGAATGGCGGATGTTAAAGATCTGAAAAGCGCTTTAGTGTATGCCATGAAATTTGAGGCAGCCCAGCAAGCAACTCGGAGAGATTAGGGATCGCAGCTACCCAGTCAGAGCTGTGCGAGTCCACGACCCAGGGGACCAATTGATGGCTCGTTTAGATGATTTATCCAGACAAGTCGATGCTTTGATACGGAGTAGCAGTGAGAACAAAGTGGCTGTAAGATGTTGGAGATGTGGTTCTGAAGGTCACCTACGACGGCATTGCAGAACACCCCAGGGCACGGATAATAAAACGGATGAGTTGACAAGACCAGTGAATGCTTTAAGACGGAATAGTGGTGAAAAAAAACTGACCCTAAAGTGCTGGAATTGCGGTGTTGAAGGTTGAAGGCCACCTACGAAGGAACTGCAGAACTCCCCAGAGCACGGAAAATAAGGCATACGATTTAAACAGACAATTAAATGTCACGGGAAGGAAAAGGACTTGACAAGAAACCAAAGTGCTGGAACTGTGGAGCTGAAGGCCACGTACGAAAGAATTGCAGAACACCCCAGGGTACGAAAATTGAGACAATTTCTGAGCAACGACGCAGGAAACAAATTAATGACCATATCAAGGAACGGAGGTTGCCAGATAATAAAAACCCTGTTTTAAAGCGCTTAAGATCTCTATAGTGAGTGGCAACAATAACGGACTGTCCATCAATGGGAATATCGATGGAGTTCCTTGCAATATGATCATTGACACAGGAGCTAATGTTACCATCATTAGGAAAGATTTAGCTGAACAGTTTAAAGATAAACTTATTTGGACGCCATCCTGTGTTACCCTTCAGACTGCGTCTGGTGACAAGATCGACATAACTGGGAAGTTAAACGTAAACATCACGTTTGGAAGTGCCGCCTACCATCACACGGCATATGTGGCGCATATTACAGATCCATGCATAATCGGATTGGACTTTTTAAGGAAATACAATTTTTCCTTAGATTTCAAAAACAATAAGCTGCTTTCAGCATCTGATGGCATGACTATCCATCCTCAAAAGGGATCCTCGCCTGGAAATGTCGACGCCTTGTCCGAAAGATCGAGCTCGGGAAGCTGCCGAAATCATACCAGGGTCGAAAAGAAACTCAAGACTACCAGCTATTCTCCATCCCAGAAGCTCTTCGGTCGAGACCTTCGTCTGCCTTGTGACCGCCTGTTTAGTCGCCCTACGGATGCGCCTTCATCGCCTGAGGAACACATCCAAGATGCCCAGGCCCGGTTTGAGGGGATGCACCGTTCTGCACGAAAGCGAGTCAACTTGGCGACGGAGAAAATGAAGATCAGATGCGACACAAGAACTACTAGACAGAGATCCAACAAAGGAGACAAGGTGTGGTTGTGGAACCCAATTCAACGAAAAGGACTGAGTCCTAAATTACAGTCACCTTCGGATGGTCCATATACAGTGCTGAACACGAATGACGTCGTGGTTCGGATCCGTGAGTCTTCGAACTCTTACGACAGGTTAGCTTATTACTATGGCCATAGTACGTAATGTAAATAATTGTAAATAGTATCAGACCATGGTCCTTTTTGTTTATAAATGTGTATTTGATTTGATTTGTATTTAGTATTTGATTTGCATTTAGTATTTGATAGCATTTGATTTGTTTAAGTTAGTTATTGCATTTATTGTTTATATTGTTTGATATTGTAATGTAATGTTTATGCCTCAATTGCATTTATGCCACAGTTGTAAGTTTAGCTTCCTGTCCAGGGATTGTACTGCCCGGGACGTGCAGTCCTTGGGAAGGGGGCAGTGTTACGAATTTGCTATTTAAAAAGCTAATGTTAGTTCAATTATAAATTAAATGGTTTTATTTCTCGCGCAGTGCAGCGCGTGACGAATATTAAAAGAAAGCTAAGCCGGAAAAATTAAAAATACAAGAGCGCGTGCGTTAAATAAATAAATATCTCTTTTTGATTTCGAGAAAGTACTGGAAAATTCTAGCGCGTGATTTTTAAAATCTTATAAAAGGAGGAAAACATCTCAGTTTGTAGTAGTTGCTTAGTTTGTTGTTGTTTAGAAAACTACTGTTGTTGATTGTAGCGAATTCGCGGATTGGCGTTCTTTAGCTGTTTTGAATTACGTTCTATTGGACATTTGAGTAGTTAAAAGAAAACTACTGTGAGATATTGTAATACTGCATGATAATTTGAGAAAATTTAAGCATTTTTTTTGTTGTGATAATAATAATTTTTTTTTCATTTTTCATCGGTCTTGTGCATTTATTTCATGACGAACCCGTACGCACGCAACAGTATTGTCAATCGATATGATATGAGATCTTTCAATAATAAATCGATATGTCAATAATAAATCGATAAATCGATATGTCAATTTATCTTTCAAAGTACTATAGAGACACTAGGTAATTTATATACGTTTGGTGCAGCCGATTGCAACCAAAATACGAGGTGCACATCTACATGTTATAGCAGTCCTATATAGAAAATTTCAACGTTCTTGAGGCTACTCGTTTTCAAGTTATGCGAGATACGTGCGTACGGGTAATTTTTGGAAGCAGAAGAGATGAAAAATTAGCAGCGCCTTCGCCGGGTATCGAACCGCGGACATCTAAAATACCGGCTCAGTGTGCTGACCGCTACATCACGAAGGCACGCTAGGAAGGCGGAAGAAATACGTTATAGTACAAAGGGTAAAGATACTGAGATATTTAAAACTAATAAATGCCTTTTTAATAGTTTAAACCTTCATTTTATTTAATTTATAATTTATGATATAAACAATTGATAATTATAAGCATTTACAGCAATATTATAATTAATAAAATATATTTCTTTTGCATATTACGCGACTGGGAGAAGAATCTGTTAATTTTTATTGTTTTAATTAAAACTAAAAGCTGTGAAAAAGTCGAGTTACAATAGACCACCGTTTATACGTCGTTTCAGCTTGGTCCCAAGTCAGTCTCCTATTTGTTTTTTATATGTCGCATGACTTCTGTTTTAAATCGTTTTTGTTAGACTTACAGCATTGGTTTTACATTTCGAAGTCCCACCGCTCAAGCACTTTGCCAAGAAATGGAGGTAGAGCAAGAAAATAGAAGCATGAGACATACTAACATTATGGTATAGGAGTTGAAAAACCAGTTCATAAATAGTTCCCCTTAGAAAGTCCTCCACGAAGGCATCCCTCCCCTTAGGCAGATAGCCTTAGCGTGCTTTGCCATAATTAAATACACTACACCACCAGTTCATAAATAGAAGAGATACTTGATACTAAAATTTCGCTTATGCGTTTTTCTGATTTATACGTCATTTCTGAATGGTCCCTTGAAAGATGTATAAACGGTGGTCCACTGTATTACTTTACAATATTTTTGTAGTAAAAATTGTTTTAATTTTCTCTTGTAACATACTGAATAATTAATGAATCTGAATTCCTGTCATAAAGAGTGTTTGTTTTGCATCTGCTTTTATAAAAAATAAGAAAGATAGATTGGAATTATTTTTTTCAGGTAGAAAAATTGTTAGTTAATTTATTATTTTTGAAATGATTAGTTTCTACATTATGCAAAAGGACTTCTGTCATCGCAATTCAGAATTTATTCTAGAATTGTTATTATTACAAAGTTTGTTATCTTAAACGCAAAAGTATCTTGTTCTTGACTTTTTGGTTAGTTCCTCAAGGCAATTAAGTACAGTTCTTGGGATTTCATAACATTCAGATTTCCATTTAATCGGTATTCTTTAGAGCTAGTGACTCAATTAAATCGGTGGTAACGCGATGATAAAAATATTTAACCAGTAAATAAATCATAAAATCAGAATCTCTTCTTTAGACCATTAACAAATCGAAGTCCATTCTGATATAATACACAATGAATATTAAAAATTCATTGAATGTGCATAATTATTCAAAAACAAGAGAATGCAGAAAATAGCTATTTAAGAATATTAAAAGCATGTTTTTTAAAAAATTCTGAAAACACAAACGATACTTTTCTGTCAGTTCCACTATACTGTTGGTTATTCGAGGGCTGTCATCGAAAATATCGCGGAAGAAAACTTGCCGAAAAAGTAACAAAAAAGGGGAACTTGTCGTCGCAGAAAACATCATTGTAAAGAAAGTAAGGCGAAAGCATCGCAGTTCTAAATGCTGTAGTATAAAACATCGTGATAGAAAATAAATATTTTATTCAATGATGTTTTAAAACTGCGAAGTTTTGTTACCACTGTGTTTTCTGCCACAACGTTCTATACCGTGATGGTTTGGAACTACAGTGATTTGTTTTTCCTTTTTTTCTTGTACCACAATTTTTTTTTCGCTGATATTTTTCCTTGGCTTTGTTTTCTTTGCTAGCTTTCGTCCATTTCCAGCCACATCTTATTTTGTCTATTTTAATAGAACAGAAGCCATCAGACATTCAGAAAAAAACAGATGACGTCAAGTATGAAGTAAGGCCAATGCGAAAAATAGATGTTCCTCAAGCTTTAGACGTGTGGAGAGAAACCGGAATGCAAGAAGGAACACATAGCATTTATTCTTGGCTGAAATTCGATCCTCAGGGATTTTATGTTGCTATTACAAATTCAGGTAGTATACCATTATATCATAAAGTTAATATCACTTAAAACGTACAAAAGCATCTTTTATCAAAAGCATCTATTATCAAAAAGCGTAAAATAAACTATGAACTAGAAAAAAAGAACTACTTAGTAATGATGTAGTATGCGATCTACCACTTTAGTTAGTTAGTTATATCTTAAATGGCACCATTCTTCATGCAATTTTATACAAATGCACGCATGATAAAAAAATTAATTTATTAGTATATTTGGCTTACATATTTATTAATGTTTAGAAAATAAAGGATATACAGTGGTATACTTCATTAATCCATATCCTTATTATTATTTTTTTTCCAACGGCGGGCACTTGCCTATAACGGCATTGGCCACTCCTAAGGCCAGAAGTGGTGGCCATTTTATTGTAGAGGCACCTGTTAGGCGGCCACCGTCACCACCTATGAAGGGACAGACAATTTTACATCCCTGCCTTCTCTGGGAATCGAACCCGGGCCCTTGGGTATCTCAGTCGGGCTTCCCTAACCATTATACCGTCTGGGCGTCCACTCTTAAGGCCGGAAGTGGTGGCCATTTCATTGTGGAGGCACCTAATAGGCGGCCACTGTTACCTACTATAAAGGGACGGACAAGTTACAACCATACCTTTTCCGGGATTCGAACCCGAGCCTTTCGGTATTGCAATCGGCTCCCCTAACCATTATACCATCTGAGGGGGGGTCCTTGGACGTATATCAGACGAACTTTTCTAATAAGAATAAAGGTAAAAAATAAATTCGTTTTTATAAAATGTACCGTTGTGATTATTACAACCCTGATTAGTACTAAATACATATATAATGCGGGAAATATGTAATGTGAATATAAATATAAATGAAGCACGACACATGATACTGTAAATATTTTCCTGCTAAACAGATCCAAAAAAAAAAAAAAATACATATACTAACGTTTCTGATCTTTTTTGGTTTCCCCCATTCGCAACGTTAGCCGATTTATTAACATTTTTGTTTTTCACAGTCGTAGACACCATCGTATTTGTCATTTGGCATGCTATAGCTAAGATGCAGATACGTATGCCATGTTCATGTTTCCAAAAAATCTCTTTTTTTTCACCTCCATTGGTGATCCTAAGAATTTTCTTCGTTGCTTCGTTTCTTAAAAGCTTTTCTAAAACTCACTGGTAGTGAATTTTTAAAAAAATATTATTAAAAAAACACAAAATCACTTTAAAATTCAAAGGCATGGTGAGGGTTGTTTATACTGAATAGTAACAACAGGCGTATTCGTGGGCAGTCACAACTTGTGTCGAAAGAGGTAAATATGTGTAACTACGCGTAGTCGTGACTCATCGGGCTCGAGCCGCATTCCGAGACAAATGCCGCCTACAAGACAAAAATTTTAAAACCCAAACAGGTATTTTAAAGCTGACGTATATCGAAGTATCATTGTACAAAATTGTGCAAAAATATTACAAGATTTCAATTTAATTTTATTTTTCAGTTAGGTTGTAGAGACATTAGGTATATTTTTGGAAGCAGGAAAGATGAAAAATAGCAACCGCCTTCTCCGGGAATCGAACCACGCCACGGACTTCTGGAATACCGGCCCAACGGGCAGAACCACTACACCACGAAGGCACGCTAAGATTAATTATGTAAACACTATACCAGTATAAAACCAGTTACTCATATTCTGACGTAAGATATTTTAGAAAATTGATTAATTAAATTTAAAGTTAAATTAATTATAATAAAGTTAATTAAATTATATCTTCGTTTATATGAGTAAAAGTTATAATGACTATATATGCAATGCTGTTTAAATATATGATTATGTATATTTACAAATATTTTTAGACTTCTTATTAATATTAAAAAAATAATGTGCATTTGCAAGACTTGAAGGCAGTTATAACTTTAACTCAAAATTATAATTTTTCTGCTTGTGGGTATGATTTTTCTGAAATCGTTGGTTGGAACTTCAAGAAATTGTCACCGATTGTATAAAATTTATATTAGCAATTTCAACGTGATTCATGCTTAGAAAGTTTTACAGATACTGGCAATTCGTTAGACTTTTCTGGTTTTATTTTTTGTCATGACTGCTGCTGGCAGGTCCAGCTGCTACGGATGTTGAATTCTGTAGCAATCGTTAAAGGACAACTGGATTTAAACCTCCAAACTAGACTTAAGGAGAGGGTTAATATTTATATGGATATTCTATTAAATATAAATATTAACAGAAAATTTAACTACATCATTAGATTAACCTCTTCGAAAATAAAACACTTTTATTCATATAACTTTCAAAAATATCACAAGAGGCTAAATAGGGGCATCATATGCATTACTACTTAGATCACATATTTTAGTATATATTGATTTTATCGCAAGTAATTACTACATATATATATAATAAAAATATGTAAATCAAAATTATAATTTAAATTAACAATAACCCCTTAATTCCCTCTCTGAATTCTAAAAATCATATTACACACAAATATATATATATTTTCTGGACTTCGTCATTTCTAGACCAATCCATTTTGCATGGTTGTGTAATGATGTTGATGTAGGTAATTTGGAATCCGAACTCAAAATTTCCAGAACTGAAACCTAATTTAAACCAAAATTTTCTCTTGGTGATCCTCCATACTGGATAATTGCAGTTGCGCATTTTAGCTTCAGCTTTCTTGCAGTCAAGCCCTTCTTCGATCTTGCTATCTACGCCCTTATCTAAAATGTGATACTCGGTAAAAAATTGTGGTGTGCGTATTGCGCCCGTGAGCATATTTCACAAGTGCACATCTGTGTAGCCACCGAGGGAGTGGCTTCTAGGATGGACCAATGAGCATCCAGTAATATTTCTGTCATGTCACATGACCTTTCGCGTGCTTTGAGATTTAAGCAAGATGGTTGAAATAATCTGCCACGCAATTTTCTGTAAAAAATAATGAAAGGATCGTCGATTGCTTCTGAAATTTTTCATTGCGAAGTTAGATCAAATATAGGCAATTATGAAGATTTCACTACCTAGTTGAAATAAATACAAACACGTGTCCTTTTCTTCCTTTTTCCCAATTGCCGTGTATAAATATAACCGGCTGTCATGAATTAATAAGTACACATATTGGATAATGAGTGTGTCCGGAGGACAGGATTCAAACATATGCAAAAATATCGATGTGAAATATTACTTAATAAGTGGTAAATAAGATAAAGAAAGAAATATGTGATAAACGTCTGAGCCCAAATGCAATCTTTACATAAAACTATGCGTATGAGAAAAATATTTTCACCAGTCATATATGTAAATAGAAGTCAGCACTTTTTATTGCAGTCTATACGAAAAAGATGTTCTATACTAATAAACAATGCAGAATTTTAGCCAAAGTGAAATTTACTAATTTGCATTCGTATACATTTAGTGTGTTAAATTTCACATTTAATAACTGCTCACTCTTAAGTGAACTCTCTATACAAGAAATACTCGTCAAGCAGAATGAATTTATTGTATTCACAACGAGTATATTCAATTTATTCACATATAACTTTTAATTTTAAAAATGGATATAATCAGATCATATGTGTTCTGAATCTTACACTTTAAAAATCAAAAGAATGCTCTGATATAAGAAAACACTAGATTCATTGTAACACTTTAAGTCATTCTCATCTCAATTAAAAAATATACACTTGAATTCTCTTAATCCACATAATATGCCGTTATCATCAATCAAAATATTAATGCGTGATAAAAATCTCGAAAGTGAAATGTCAGCGATTAATTAAACTCAGAAAACGAAAGCACTACAAGATCTCTACTATTACGCCATATATTTATAACTGCCAAACAAATGCAAATTAAAACGTAAACAACATACTCTCACATGCACGAAGATTTAGCGTCACAAGAGCAATAGCAGCTCATTGGTCCATTTCCGAAACCCCTCCCTCAGTGGCTGCGCAGATGTGCACTTGTGAAATATGCCGCCCGTGATCACCTGTGACGAAAAATTTATTTTCCATAATTAGTTCGTGTACAGCAATAAAAATTATATAGTCGGCCACGTCTGTCTATAAGTCTTTCCATCAAGTGTTATCTTTTAATTACACAGTAAAGTCTCTCCAAGTTATAAGCCAGAGAACCATTGCCAATCCTTTGCTGGATTAAAGCTCATTTTGGGCACCAGGGAAATGAGGAGGCGGACTTACTCGCAAAGGAGGCCACGCAGGACATAGATGCGCAGCAAATAGAGGTGCTGCTTCCCAAAAGCAGCATTAAAAGAACAGCGCGGAAGGATGCTCTAATCCACTGGCAAGAGGACTGGGATTCCAGATACACTTACCGTTTTCACAGGGTCAGTACAGACAGGTTAATTTCAGACCCGCATATAACGCGCTTCGTAACTGGACACGGGCCATTTCCCAGTTACTTTTATCATAGGCACCTAAGAACTACCAACCTCTGTGTATGAGGAGATGTGGGCAAGCCTGATTACTATCTGACATCATGCCCACTTACACGAGACTTCCACCACGCTCTACCAACTACAAATACAGTCGCCTACAAAAGATTCATGGTCAAGCAACCTTTAACACAGAGGAAAATACGACTAATGATGCAAAAACTCGAAGCGTTAGGCACTGAACTTTGCAGTGCGGAACGCGGTCCCATCTAGCCATAGGAGTCCTAATCCTTCATGGATATTAATATCTTTATACCAGTTTAATGCAATGTCAATGCCTAACTTTAATGATCAATCTAATAGAATAGGGAAATGCACATTTTATCTTATGTATGTATTAATGTAATTGTATGTATGCGTGTACTATTATTGTATAATGTATAACGATATATATAGTATAAGTTGTACAATTTGCATTAGTATATGTCTGTAGAATATAGAAAATGTTTAATATTGTAAGCACTAATATATCCAGTGCACCTATTGATGTATCGAATGCACCTTTTATGTAACGTATATATTAATGTAATGTATGTGTGCCTGTATTATTTATGTATATAGTTATCAGCTGCGTAATGTGCACTGGTACAGCTTTGCAATATGTCTGTAGAGTTCAGCAAATTTTATTATAGTATGTATTAATATATCGAGTGTACTATTAATGTATAATGTATTATGTAATTATATTGATATATCGATGCACCTTTCATGTTATGTATGTATTAATGTAATGGACGTGTGTATGTGTTATTTAGGTATAATGTATATAGCTATAAGTTTCGTGATGCGCATTGTTATTGCTCTCCAAAATGTCTGTAGAGTTTAGGTAAATTTTTTATTGTACGTCTTAAATCGAGTGCACTATTAATGTATAGTGTATTAATATATCGAATGCACCTTTTATGTTATCTGTGTATTAATGTATTGTATGCATGCAATATTAATGTATAATATATATAGCTATAGGTTTCGTATAATATATATAGCAATGCGCATTGATACCGCTCTGCAATGACAGTAGAGTTCAGAAAATTTTATTATTATACGTATTAATTTATCGTTCATGCATCGACTATTATAATAGTGCATTGTATAATGTAATACGATGTATTACTACTATGGTTATTCAACATAGTAACAGCACTTTTTGATGTATCTTTATATTGTATAATAAGCATTGTTATTGTAGGAATTCGCAATACCCCTGTTTTCCACCATCTGCCCCTGTTTGCAATATTCTTTTTCTGGACAGTTGCGGGATTCGGACGATGATACCCAAATAGTCAGTGAAAGCCGTCCGGGTATCCGAACACTGCTCTCACCTGTCACCTGTCAATCCATTGCAGTTTTCTCCAAATCATCAAATTACACACACACATATATATATTTATACATTTTTAGAATTGTTATTAAATCGCAAAAGTTTTAAAAAAAAGGGGGGTGGGGAAATTGTTTATTCATTCAGAATGCACATTAAGATTATACAAATGAAAATGGTTGGATTTGTTTACGCAGTTGGATTCGCATATTGCAGAACATTATTGATTGCAAATATGAAATAAAAAGTAATTCTTTTACAGACGATTAACTTTAATTACATCTGCTTGTAAAATTTCATGTGCTTACATCAGAATTCCTTTTAATAAAGTATTTATTTTCTTTCTCTAGGAGAAGTATTAGGAACATGTACTGCAGTCATCAACCATGATGATTTGGCTTTCATTGGCTTGTATAGTGTACGAGAGAAATATCGAGGTCTAGGAATAGGTTCTAAGGTATGTAACGCAGTGTAAAATCGTATCCAGGCAGTTTAATGTACAGACGTTGCGTAAGACTGCGGCGTAAGGCGTAGTCATAAGGGCATAAAATACGGGAATTCCGTTAACACTTGCGAGAAGGGTGTAAGCCTTGGCCAATGAGAGAAGCTAAATTTGCGCATGTGTGGATGTGTCTACAACTTTCCCGCGCTGTTCTCCTGCTCGATTGATTTCCCGCGTTCGCTCTGCTTGTTTTCTGACAGCGAAATCTTCTGTAGAACGCCGCTTCGTTTTAGCTTCGCTCTGATCGGTCGACGCTTATCCGTCACCATCGAGATAGATAAGGCCTGCGCGCTGAGTTACTACGTCACTGCTAGGGGACCGGTCTTCGCGTAGTTTAGCTTCCTTGCTAAACACCCGTTTTTCTAAACCTATTCTATGAAATTGGTATCTCATACTATAAAATCAGTCTAAAACAAAATTACAAGCGGCAATATAATGTTTTACAAAGCTTATACGAATATGAAATATTTTCATTTTCTTTTGTTAGTATTTATTTTCAAAACAAAATTATTTGAGAATGGTGTGGTGCTTTTAAAAGCAAATCATTTCTTTGAAGAAAAATTGTAGTAAAAATTTTAGCTACTTGTTTTAAAATTCAAGTAGCTAAAATTTTTACTTTGACTTTTCTGTACTGTCTTTGTGCTGTCGTTGATTCTCATCACTGCATCAAATTTTTTTGTTTCACCCACTACTTTAACAAAATGTTTGCCAGTGGGAACACATGTTATCTCTCATTCTATAATTATTGCATATTTTTTATATCTATCATATTAATGTAGCAGGATTATAAAACATCAAACGAATGCAAGAGACTACTTAATATTTAGACTAACATTTAAATGCCTTATATCAGTCAGAAAATTTTCTGAATGTAATAAATTACTATATAGTCTAGTCTTAAAATTATTTCTTACTTACATATTGTATGTTAACCCTTTAACTGTCAAGTTATTTTGATGATTTGGGTACACCAAATTGTCAAATTTTTTTTGCAAAAACCAAATGTTTAGTACAAAATAAAATATACTTAAGTAGTTAAAAAAATTGATATTTTGACGTACATGGCGTAATTTTTAAAGTTTTGTGTAGCCACTGCATATTTTCTTTGAGGCGGCTGTCACTCAACATGGCAGTTGCAAAGTTCGCTTCTAGTAAGCATTATTTTCTAAAAATGGGGGGAGGGGGGAAAAAATTAACTATTTTCTAAAACATAAATAAATATAAAGTGAATACCTATTAGTAGTCCAGTAATTCAGTTTTGTGTGGTACAACTGGAAACACTTTTCCAAGCACAAACCAACTCCACAATCACTACACCACTACACCAGAATCGTGATTTCCTTCCCTTATCTTTCCCCCATTTTTATCCTTTTTCGAACAACACACTTTGCACTGTCTTGTAGGCTCACGTTTCGCAGGAATAGGAAGGAAAATGGGATATAAAATGTCGTTCAGTAAGACGGGCAGGGTTATCTATTGTAGGTGGTCTGCCAACATTCTTTTGTCCAGAAGCTGCATCATCATATTTATGTAAAAGCTCTTCTACAACTTGGATTCGAAATTCTAAAAATGTAATACGTTTCCCAACTACATTTTTATAGAGCAAATATGAGTTCCAGAGTACCTTGTCTAGTAAATGTAAAAATATCTTTTTATAATATTTTATCTGACGTTTTCGGATTGTTGGATGAAAGGATATTTCCTGATCACAGCGATCTACACCACCCATAGTTAGACCATAATTAGAAACAATCTGAGTATATCGCCATTTTTTATTTTTGAGGCTGACCATGGAAGTATCATGATCATCATCAAACACACATCCTTCATCTTCGGTTGAAGAATCTAAATCATCTATATAACGTTTCAAAGAACTGGACGCTATTTTACAACAAAAAGATCCCATGCACCTTGAACCAAATAACCTCTAACCTTTGAAATCTTCAGTAAAGTGCTGTCATTTATTGAACTGAGCGCACATTAACTTTTCCCGAAATACAGTCGGGTTTGACAAAGAGATGAAGCCGAAATAAACGTCTCCCGATATATATTCGGGTATAACAATACGATGCACTCAAAAAAAAAAATTACCCCGAGTAATACTCGGGCGTGACATTTTCGAACACCAGTGCTGCGCCCGAGATTATCTCGGGCATGACAGTTAAAAGGTTAATCTGTATTACAGTTAATGTATTCCTCTTAATGCTACATAATTATTCGACAGAATCTGTAGTTAAATTGAGATAATGTTTATTACATAGCTCTGAAGACTATCAATATTAAAATTCCAAATAAGACAGGAAAAAAGTTTTTTAAATAAAGTTATACACAATTTTTTTGAAAATATTTTAAAAATATACGAAATACTTAAAAAACTTTTAGAAACTGAAATTTCTTGCAAATATTTACATCATACCTATTTAACTATAAGCGTTATCTCTGTTCTGAAAATATTTTTTCTATTAATATCCACATGAAAAGAAAATATAAATCCTAACATCATGTTCGAAACTTTTCTGTGTAATGTAAGCAATTTTTTTTAACTTAACTTACATAGCTTTTGGTGGTGCCACGTACTCAAATTAAAGATTGTAATTTAAAAGATAATTAAAAAAATTGTTTTTAAAATTGCATTGAATTGAAATACAATGAAAACAAGTATGTCTACATATGAATTCAATTACTACTGCTTCTTCAATAACTGTATATTTTTAAAATTTCATTTTGCAGTTTCGCAATTTAGTTACCTTAATATGAATCTTACATACATTACTTTAGAAACTTTTCTATCATTCTCAGAAAGATTTATATTGCATAACAAATTTTAAACAAACTGATTGCATGATAATAACATATATAAAAGTGAACAGAAGCTATATTAGCTAAACATATGCATTTAAGTTTCGTCATGATAAAATGATATTTAATGATTTGCAAAAAAACATTGATATTTAAATTTAAGAACACAGTACTCTGTCAAGAATCAAATTTACTCTGCATTTGATATTCTACATATTATGTAATGAATTATGTAATGAAATAAGTGTTATGCTTTTAACCCCTTAGGACAGTTATTTCATATAAAATTAGTTTCCAATTAAAATAAATAATCATAAATTTTGCTGACAATTTTTATATTACTAGTGTTAGTAATTATTACAAGGAATGATGCTTCAGATGTCAAAAGTAAACATAAATTCAATTCTTAAAACATAATGAATAAAAAATTACAACTTATAAAAGCCAACAAAAAGTTTGCTGAGGGTCCCTTAACCGTGACGTCACAAGCCAGTTTCGTTTCAAAGCGCAGGCCTTATCTGTCTCGATGGTGACGGCTTATCCCAAACTCGGCGTAAAGTTGAAAACTTTGAACCCTATGCCACGAGCCCTAAACCAGATTTTGTGACGTAGCACAGACTAGTTGCCTTGGTAACGGAGCGCAGCTTTAACCACTTATGCCCTTTATGCCCCGTCTGAACGAAGCTTTTGACACTGTACACTTTGTACGTAAGACTCCCGAGCAATACGACTTCCATTCACGATTAATCTAACAAAAGCAATGGAAAAAATACAAGAAAGATGAATTACTTATATTATAATTAACAGAAACTACTATTAAGAACTTATCTTCATTTTTAAGCAGTTTAATGTGAGAATAAGAACTCGTTTAAAAATTAAATTAGAAAAAAAGTGGAAGAGAATATTTTAAAACGGAAAGAACAAAATTTTTGTTTATATTATTCTGGCATTTCGGTAAGAGTCGTTAGAAATTTCGATAGGTAATCGATCGGAAACAGAAGATACATAAGTTGTTTTTACGATTTATAATTAATTTTTGATGCACGATTTCTCAAAGTTTTACATACTTTAGATCATTGGTATTCTAACTTTATCGGCTCACGTAAGCTTTAGAACTATAAGGTTTTTTTTTGGAAACCCCATCTTACCCTTAGAAAAATATAGCCACCTAGCCGGTATAGTGGTTATCGTCGCTGACTGCCGTGCCGAAGGGCACGGGTTCGAATCCTGGAGAAGGCATGGATTTGTAAATGTATAGTGTCCATGCGGCATGGAGGTTTTCTAAATATGCAGCGAGTGGACGTCCTCTAGACAGGTTGGTTGCTGGTAGAGAAACAAGGATGGGAGACCCTCCGATCGTCCCCCGGGGGTGCGCTCCTTCGAAACTGAGGGGCGGCACAGAGCAGAATGGTACTGTCATCTGCATAGTGTTCAAGGCTGTTGCCAATGACAGGCGTAAACTTGCGATCCTTGCCTAGAGGAATTTCATGGGCGTGGGCTGATTATAGCTCAGACAAGTGACCATTAGTCACCAACAACAGCAACAACAGAAAAATGTATGTTAATTTAATATTTAAAGTAGATCAATATTGTTGCGTGCGTACGGGTTCGTTATGAAATGAATGCACAAGTCCGATGAAAAATGAACAAAAATTTATTATTATCACAACAAAAATGCTTAAATTTTCTCAAATTATCATGCAGTATTACAATATCTCACAGTAGTTATCTTTTAACTACTCAAATGTCCAATAGAACGTAATTCAAAACAGCTAAAGAACGCTAATCCGCGAATTCGCTACAATCAACAACAGTAGTTTTCTAAACAACAACAAACTAAGCAACTACTACAAACTGAGATGTTTTCCTCCTTTTATAAGATTTTAAAATCACGCGCTAGAATTTTCCAGTACTTTCTCGAAATCAAAAAGAGATATTTATTTATTTAATGCACGCGCTCTTGTATTTTCAATTTTCCGGCTTAGCTTTCTTTTAATATTCGTCACGCGCTGCCACTGCGCGAGAAATAAAACCATTTAATTTATAATTGAACTAACATTAGCTTTTTAAATACCAAATTCGTAACAATATGTTATAGGTATTTTATGTAAAGACAAAGAAAAATATTGCAAAAATTAAATTTTCTATTAATTTTTTTGTTTAAAAACTTTTTTAATAAAATAAATTTTATTTGTTCATTAATAAATCTAACTCCTGCTCCAGGTGTCATCTACGCTTGTATTATTTTAGTAACAAGAGTGTGGTTGCTTTTTTTTACATAAACTGTCGAAGATTTTAATTTACAATCCATGGATCACGGGATATATTTTTTATGGCTTTAAATTTATTCCATGTGTCCAGGGCAAATATATGTAATATAATTAAAAAAAAGAAATCTAATTTTTAAATATTTGCCTTATTTATAAACCTGTTTTTGAGGAAAGTGATTTTAAGTTTTGCTAGAATAACCATAAAAAATCATTTACTGCTGTTAGTCGGATTAAACAACTTGCAATGTAGTCTGAAATTCTTGAATTAGTATAGCTTTTAAAATGCTAGTTGCTTGCTAACAAATATAAGAAGCTTTAGATTATAACCACCATTAATATATGCTTTTTATTTTCTTAAAATATTGCTAAACGATACTCATAAAGTAAAATTTTTAATAAAAATAGTGTTTATGTCTGATGACATGAGAGAATTATTAATAAATTACATACGTAGAAAAATGTTTTTACCAGGCATCAAACTTACGCGTGTATGGAAAAAATTAACTTTCATATTTTACCAGGATGCTGCTTTAAGTAATCTTCATGATATTTAAATTCCTTCCTTAAACTTCCATTCAGTTTTTCTGATGATTACTCTGAGGCAGATCTTTCTTATTTAAGAGTTTACAGTAACTGAATATCATTAACAATTCAACTAAGTGCTAACTATATAAATTATGTACTAACTGTATGATATTATATTTCGTAGATCTGGAATGCTTGCATGGAGCATGTTGGCACAAGGAATGTAGCCCTGAACGCTGCACCGGGAACGCTTGAAATGTATCGAGACAAATGTGCATTCCCTATCGTTGAAGACAGATGGGAAATATTACTCAACGAAATAAATCAAAGTGTTTCTCCAGCAAACTTATCGGATCAAGTTCCTTTCGGTGTTCGTGTCCAGCATTGTCGAGAGTCTGATTTGTCTTTAATTTACGAGTTCGATTTCAATCTTGTAGGCTATAAACGTGATCTCGTGATTAAACTTACTAGTCAGGAACAAGACACAAAAACCGTGGTGGCAATCAAAGACGGGGAATGCATTGGGTACGGAACTATCAGGAAGACCTGCCAAGGAATAGGCTATGTAGGTCCACTATATGCCAATGACTATTCAGTAGCTGAAGTTATATTAAGGAGGCTCATCGTGTCTGCTCCTGAGATGAAAGGTCTCTTCATAGGCACCGACAGTAATAACGCAGCTGCTAATGATCTCGTAAAGAGGCTCGGATGCCATGTGATAGGACAATGTCAACGACTCTATCGCAGAGAAAAGGTGAATGTTGACACAAACAAAGTGTTTGCATTCTTCAGCTTAAACTTTTCTCCCTTCTGAACGATTTGGAAGTTATATGTATCTGTTCAGCGAAAAATGGAAAACGTACAATCGAATTCAGACCTCAGAATTGTAAGCAATAAGATTTGATTAAAGAATGAGCTGGACTTTATAATATCAATTATTATTTTTGATGGAAACCGGAATTCTGGAAAGCATGAACGATAATTATCTTTTCAGCGCACGGTTATTTTTATGGAGATGTTCCTTGATTCGATCGTGACATGTATGGAGTACATGTTTTCTATGATGAGAGCAAATCGCGCAAAATACTTGATTCTTTTTTTATTATTTTACTTATTTATTTATGGTTTAGGTTGAGAAGAAAGTAATTTCGGTTTGCACAAACAGGTAGCATTATGTCCCTTTACTTATTCTTCTCTCAACCTTCTCTTTATCAATTTTTTTTTTCTTTTCAGATTTGGGAACTGACACTTTTAGGTTGCTATAGAAACAAATTCCATGTATTTTTGTTTATAACGGTCAGTTTTAAAATGGATACAAAAATAAACGCTTTCGACATATTTCACTTTTTTATTTTGATACAGGCAAGAATACGACTGAGGCTCACAAAGAGATATGTGAAGTTTGACGTGTTGATTGCTTAAAAGAATGCATGAATCAAAATTGATTTTAAAAAATTCCCTTCTGGAGATTTTTTTCACTTAAAGGTGGCTAACGCTTTGGCCTACCTTCTGAATTTGATGACAACAAAATTAAAGCGATAATTGAATGGAATCGTGATGCAACTGTGCGAGAGATCACAAAATGGTTAAGTGTATCCCACACAACAACTGAAAATCACATAAGATGTCTTGGACTTGTTATAAAGCTGGATATTTAAGTTCCATGTGAAGGAATTCACTTAAAACAACGAATCAATATTTGGAAGACGCATTTCAAATGCAATGCAATCCACCCTTTTTTCCCACGAATTATCACTGATGATGAAAAATGAACCGAAAAAGATAATGACCTAAGCCTGATGAACCAAAATAAATCATATCGAAATCTAAACTGCGTTAGGAAAAGAAAAAAAAAATCATGCTGTCAGTTTGGTGGAATTACAGAAGTTTTACGTATTTTGAGCTGCTTCCAAACAACCAAACGATCAACTCAGATATTTACTGTCAACAACTTATGAAACTGGAGGAAAAAGAAAAACCAGAATTTACAAATGGCAAAGTAATCGTATTCCAGCACGATAATGCGAGGCCTCACACATCTTTAGCAACAGTACTAAATTACCGGAGCTCGGTTGGGAAATAATGTCGCGTCCCCATATAGCCCCGGTTTTGCAGCATCGGATTATCACTTATTTCGGAGTTTATAAAACATCTTAAACGGTGAAAATTTCGGTAGTAACGATGGCCTCATATCGCACTTGGCTGAGTTTTTTTGCTGTTACTAACACCAGAGGTTCTAAATGCGCAGAATCCTGAAGTTACCAGAAAGATCATCGAACAGAATGGAAGGAATTTGATTGATTAAAGTTAATTTTTTGTATACAGAAAATTAAGTTTTTATTTCACACCTACCTAAATTACTTTCTTGCTAACCAAGTATAAGGTAAAAGTATATAGACTTTAATAAAAATAATATTTGCTTCGTCATCATAACAAACGTTTAATATTCATTTTTGACATGATCTAACACAAAGTACGGCTCAAAACATAAACTATCATCAAAATTTTTTATTTAAACCACATTTTTCTTTCTTTGTTTTATTTGCTTTGTGCAAATAAAACATGAAACCAGCGCACTTCTGTACAGCACTCTGTAGTATTTATTCATTAATGTTAAAAACGCAGGTCATTTCATGAAATTATGTTATAAAAAAGTTTCTAAAAGCAATGTTTGGAATAATATTTATTCGAGGCCCTGTCGAGGCACTGATTAGTATTGAGCATCAGGTGCGTTTTCCACATGGCGTAGAATTTCGTCAGATGAGTATTCACATTATCCACCAAGAGACATTGAATAGAAACTATAAATAAGAATGAAATGAGAAATTAAGGCGCAATTGTTAGTTTAAGTTATAAGTTTGATTTACATATTTTTTTTTATCTTATCACACACAGACAAACACACATACATATATATATATATACTTAAATCCCCCCAAACACATCTTTATTATTAAGCATCATTTTCTTCGCAATTTCGCCATATACAATTCGACAGCAAAATTTCAAAAATTGTAACAGCATATAATTAGAATCCCCGATGACGTGTTAAGTCTTGGCATATATATATATATATTTTCTGTTTTTTCTCAGTTTATCATACCAATGTACAGTTTTATTAGTAAGATGGCTTGCAGATATTCGTTTTTTGTCTTTTTATTATTAACGTCTTGTGTGTTAAATTTATTAACTGAATATCATGTTCTGCGCACTTACGCCACACAAAATTCAGTTGAATAGCAAAATTACAAAATATTTAAAAACAGCATATCTTTAGAATTTCCGATAGACAATCTCGCACGTTGGATAGAACAATGTTGTAATCCGTACATTGTTGCCACTGCTCGTTTCCAACTTGTTGAGTTAGTTACGAATTGATTAAAGTGTTATAAAATATGAAACATAAAATTCGAAATTCAAAATTCGTCCCTCCAGGTAGGTGGCCATGTTCGGGTGGTAGAATGCGTTATATAAAATTTGATGGCCTTTACCAACTTTTTCCACAGTGCGAGAAACACATGCAGATTCTTCATTGTTTAATTTCTTTAAAAGTAACACCGGACGATAGTATTTCGTGGAAACACTTTGAAAAGTGATGCGCCGCCAAATCCCGTTTCGAGACTAATAACCCATTATAAATAAAAGAAACATCTTGGTCCAATCCCAATCCAAAAATAAAAATAATTTGGCATTAAAAAAGATGTGACTTCAGATACTATATTATTCGTTATCGTTGCATGAACAGAATTTAAATGAAAAAAAAAATCAAATTAAAATAAAGAGAAATGTGCTGGAACAGCAGAATCTAATAACCGGGGCTAAATTTCTAAACTAAGAAATGGCAGAGCTCTATGGAATGCCATCACGAAAACTGAATATATATATATATAAGTTAAAAGAAAATTCCTAGTGCGTATGCCAAAAAGTTGCTTAGATACTGTGGTTCCGTTGACAATATTAACATAAGTAGAATAAAGTGTAATGAAAGATGTAAATATAAAAGATTAAACAAACAATATAAACACTTGAATATTTACAAATAAAATTACAAATAAAATTCAATACTAATTATAAGCAATATGCTGATCGAAGTAATGCATATTTTAAACATTAGAATTTAAGTGTGACAAAAGACTTAAGCAAAAGTACAAAAAAAAAAAAAAAAAAAAAAAAAAAGCGGTAAATGGTAGATTAGCCCAATTCGAATCTCATCAAGGACTCTTCAGGGGAAATTTTTTAATGATTTTTTAATCCAGCTAGCTCCATATCGCGTTTCGCTGAAATAGACAATTGAAACTGTACACGAAACTCTTTTTAAATATTAATTGAAAAAAACTTAGTCATAAACTTTAGTCTTAATTCTCGTTCCAATTTCCCGACGCGTCCGCTTGAAGAAACACATTAAGGTGTAATAATAACTTTACATAATGGACTGGTTATGCCAATGTATAAAAAAAATAAATAGAGATTTGCTATTAGTGAAAAAAAAAAGATTTTATGGAGACTACTACTTATAGGCTTTAAAAAAAAAAAAAAAAAAAAAAAAAAAAAAAAAAAAACAGACCTGAATTCGAGTCTTTTTTCTGTACCATTCAACTCAAAAGGGGTGAAAGCCTCGAGCAGATTGCAACCAATAGCAGTATGACTTAAAAAGGGGAAGAAACGTCATGAGTGCTATGGCTGGAACTCTCAACAGCTTTCGATGTCTGTCATGGCTGTGGTTAAGGCATACCGATGAAGATAATGAACTTGAAGAATTTCCTGTCTTTATTTTCACACATATCCAAGTAATTTGGCAGACACTTATTCAATCATAATTAAATATCATAATTAAATATGGTAAATTTCTATGTACATTGATTCTAAAAAAAAATTAAGACGCATTCAGTTTAGACTGGGAAGCGAAGCGAGGAGTTATTAGTACGGTGGAAGCCAGGAAAAAGGTAACGCAATTAGCTGCCAGGTTTTTTTTTTTTATACCATAGTAGGTGCGATTCTAGAAATAAGCTATGATTGGAATAGAAGAGAAACACGCCAATGTGACAATCAAAATCGCAATAACAACCCTGTATTTAGCGTACATATATTAAAACGCTCAATTGATTTCGAGAGCAACTAAAGGTCCCTCCTCATCAGGAGAACGAAATTACTAGAAAGGGAGAAAAAAATAAAGCTTCGGCAAAGAGCTAGAAACCTGGTCATTACCAGCACTGTACGTGGTCGTAACCGGATTTTGAATCAGAGTTACACTGGCCGCCTACTTTTACTGAGCCAGGCTATCTGATCAAACATATAACACATAGACTAAAACGGGGGAAAAAAAAAAAATCCGAAATGTTTCAGATTTTAAATTACGTCAAAGGGGCGTTTTTTAACATTTTGTGTGTTACCTTTTTTATTAAATATCATTTCTTCGCACTTAAACCATAAATCCAGTGCAACAGCAATATCGCAAATAGTTTTAAAACGAACATATCTTTAGAATTTCCGATACAGACTCACGCGCTGGAGATAAAAATGTTTTTCTTGCACACGTTGCCTTGCTCGCTTTGAAATCCTGAGTTTGTTAATCAAAAATTCGTCAAAGTTTTAAAATAGGAAATCGATCATAAAAAACCAAATTCAAATTTCAATTTGGTCTCCACATGCTCATATTCGTTGAGGATTACGTTATTCAAATTCGATGACTCTATGTACCGTTATTTTATGACAATCGAAAATATACTACATTATGCAGACTTTTCATTATTTAATTTCTTCAAATATAATGCAGGACTCTAACATTTTATGGCAACAGTTTGAAAAGTGAACCGACATTTATCCGTCCGACGCAAAATGCCAAAACGAAACTAATTGTCCTTCGGGATTCAAATCCCTTTGGACTAAAAAAAGGTCATTCGAGGTTCAGATTTGGTGCTTGAAGATGCAGTTGCCCCTCTCACCTTTCTTTTTTTTTTCGTTTTAGTCTATGTGTCATATGTTTGATCAGATAGCCTGGCTCAGCAGAAGTAGGCGATCCGATCCGATCAACTATTGCTGGGGTTTCCGAATAACTATTGCTGGGTTGAGCTGTTTCCAGCTCTTGAAGAATTGCCAAGAGTCACAGGACTGTAGTAAGTCTGACGTAGTAAAGCTGTGGGATTGAGGTGATGGCAGAAGGGGGACGAACAAGATGCCGCAAGCCTAGGATTAGGCCATAGAAGAAGACGAGTCGCAGACGGAGCAGTACAAGGTAGAGCAATTATGAGTTTTATGTTGAGGTACTGTGAAAGCACAAAACATGACATAACGAGTTTGTAAAGAATACAAACTCTCAGAAGCATACATTTATTAAATAAAGTTTCAGTGACAAAAATGCAAGTTGCAAAATCAGATACAATTAAAGAAATTTCCATAAAGATGTTGAGAAAAGTAATAATGAATGCTATGTACAATATATACAGCAAATTCTACTTCATGTCGAAAAATTCACATTTCTAGCTAAGTGGGCTGCAAGCGGTCGTAATTCTTTATCTTCTGGTAGTGGAATGCTATCAAATACTTTTAGTTTCATCATATGAGGGCATGCAACTACTTTCTGGAAAAAGCTGGAATTTAAACGATGAAGATGTTCTATGACAGTTTCAATTTTCAAATCTTTGCATAACATCTTATTTGATACAAAATAATGCGCATTCGCGAAGGTGCACAGCAGCTTGTTCTGAGTAATTTGCAATTTAGATATATGTCTCTTATTGATGCCCAAGCGGGGGATGCATACGTGAAGATTGGCCGTATAACAGAGATGTATAAGGGCCTCTTTCTTCTTAAGTCCAGTTTAGAGTGCTCGTTAAGACTCTGAATAACTCCTAGTGTTTTTCCCCTTACATGAGTCAGATGATACTTCCAAGAGAATTTATCATTGATAATGACGCCAAGGTAATTCGCCTCGCGTACTCTGGGAACTTCTGTGTCGAAGAGCTTCAGCTTGGATTTATCTGCGTTAATTGAAATGCGCCATTTAGTGCACCAGAATTCTATTTGTGGCATGACTTGTTGAAGTTTCCTGACAGCTAGATTCGGACACATAGATTTGACAGCAAACGCCGTATCATCAGCCATGCAGCCAATGAAGTAATTGTAGTTTAAGTCTGTTTTAAGGAAGTTTGTCACAAAGAAAAGATATAAAATCGGACCTATAATTGACCCTTGTGGGACGCCAGCGTGAATTCTTTTGACTTCAGAAATCTCATTTCCAATAGAAACGTGAAAACTCCTGCCTTTCAGGAATGAGTAGATGAGACACGTTAAAGTTTTAGTGAATCCGAGGGAGTGGAGCTTGAATATTAGACTTTCATGCCAGACGTGGTCAGACGCTTT